GAGGAGAGAGAGGAAAGAGAGACAGAGATAAGAGACAGACAGAGAGAGACAGATATAGATGAGATAAAGGAGAGATGAGAGAGAAACATGGACACACACACAGACAGAGGAGAGAGAGGAGAGAGAGACAGATGAGAGACAGATGAGAGACAGACAGAGAGACAGAGAGAGACAGATATAGATGAGAGAGAGAGAGGAAATGTGTGTGTGTGTGTGTGAGAGAGAGAGATGAGATAAAGGAGAGATGAGAGACAGACAGACAGAGATAGAGGAGAGATGAGCGAGAGAAAGATAAGATAGAAAAGAGGTGTGTGTGTGTGTGTGTGTATGTGAGAGAGAGAGAGAGAAAGAGGGGGGAGATAGAGGAGAGAGGAGAGGAGAGAGAGATTGAGATTAAATCAAAGAGGAACCACACCTTCAGCAAGCTTGCTACACCTGTACCGCTGGTGCTTTAGTGCTTAGCTTAATAGAGAATCACTGAGCAAAACTGGATTTTTTTTTTGTTTTTTGTCAGTTAAAGTATGTCTTCAGATAGTGTGTGTGCACGTGGTATGTGCGGTTAGCAAAACTTATTCCCTTCTGAAAATAGAAATAAAATTTTGTGGGAACTCGTAGTGCTGTTCCCTCCGTCCCAATAAAGTCTGTCGAGATATATTTCCAATCACGCGTTGTTTATTCGGTGGAAAGCACTTTAATTGGTTTTTTCCCTATAGCGCACAGATTGCACAGTATTTTGTAACTGCTCCAGTTTGAGAATTTCCGAGCAAATCGTTATGAATACTAAGAGTGTTTATTTCTGCCTTCTGTTGAGTTATAGCTTATATTTAACTAGGTATAAAAATAGCGTGAGCCTGGTTTGTAATTATTACGTTTCCTGTCCTGCAGGGAATTTTACATTCTGTAGTTTGCTGTCTTGTGGCATAACTTAAACAAAAGCGTGTTTTCTGATTTTATGCTCGTGAACCACCCAGATAACTACACTATTTAGCAGCCTATTTAATTAGCGTACAGTACCTAGTAAATGGGATGTGGTGGCTCAGTGGCTAAGACGCTGAGCTTGTCGATCGAAAGGTCAGCAGTTCAGCGGTTCGAATCCCTAGTGCCGCGTAATGGAGTGAGCTCCCGTTACTTGTCCCGGCTCCTGCCAACCTAGCAGTTCGAAAGCAGGTAAAAAATGCAAGTAGAAAAAATAGGGACCACCTTTGGTGGGAAGGTAACAGCGTTCCGTGTGCCTTTGGCGTTTAGTCATGCCGGCCACATGACCACGGAGACGTCTTCGGACAGCGCTGGCTCTTCGGCTTTGAAACGGAGATGAGCACCGCCCCCTAGAGTCGGAAATGACTAGCACATATGTGTGAGGGGAACCTTTACCTTTACATAGTAAATAAAGCGATCCCATTGGACAACTGGGTTTTTAACAGAAGCCACCAGACTGGCTATGCAAGGCTGGAAATTCTACCTGCCATACAGGTGGTCCTCGGAGTGGTGCTGGGGTGGCCTAGAGGTGGCGCTCTCGCCTCACAATCAGGAGGTTGTGGAAACCCGCTTCCCCCCCTTTGGCGACACTGCAACCATCATAAAATTTGAGCTGGTTGCTAAGCATCCAAATATTGGTCACATGACCCTGGGGATACTGCAGTGGTTGTAAATGTGAAAAAACAACCATAAGTCATTCTTTTCATTGTTAACTTATAGTTTCTTTCCCATAGTTGCTGCCATTTACCTAGCTCTATTGTGTAGCCAAAGTTTTTTGCCCATGCTATCATTGTTTCTTTTACTTGTCCTTCTTCTAATTTAATAGAAAGTAAGTAATGAAAGAAAGAAAGAAAGAAAGAAAGAAAGAAAGAAAGAAAGAAAGGGACACGGTGGCTCAGTGGCTAAGACGCTGAGCTTGTCGATCGAAAGGTCGGCAGTTCAGCGGTTCGAATCCCTCGTGCCGCATAACGGGGTGAACTCCCGTTACTTGTCACAGCTTCTGCCAACCTAGCAGTTCAAAAGCACGTTAAAAATGCAAGTAGAAAAATAGGGATCACCTTTGGTGGGAAGGTAACATTGTTCCCCTGTGCCTTTGGCGTTGAGTCATGCCAGCCACATGACCACGGAGATGTCTTCGGACAGCGCTGGCTCTTCGGCTTTGAAACGGAGACGAGCACCGCCCCCTAGAGTCGGGAACGACTAGCACATATGTGCGAGGGGAACCTTTACCTTTAAGTCACTATGCAATTTTTAAAATCATTCTCTCATCTGTTCCTGTGAGTATCTCATCCAATTCTGCCATCTCCAAGTCAAAACCATATAACTTTGCATCTTTTTCATATCTCGATTGTATTTGCAATTGTGTATACCGCACCATACCAATCTCTTGTTCTTCTAGTTCTTGTTTCGTTTTCAATTCCCCCTTTTCTGATAAAGGGGGAATTGATTATATCAATTATGATTATATGATTATATCTAATCATATTTCCCATATTGATAATATTTGGATGTGACTAACGCTTCCATTGTTGAAAGCCATGTTGGTGTTTTCAAATAATGTTTTTTTCTCTAACTTTCTCCCATACCGATAATAAAGCATTTCTTACATAATTGTCTTTGAAAATAACTATGTATCTTATTCTTCCCATACCATAAGAAAGCATGCCAACCAGAGGTGGGTTCTACTTACCTTAACTATTGGTTCGCATCGTGCCCCCGCGTGCTCTGCACATGCGCAGATCAACTTTGATGACATCCGGGTCAGTGGGCGGAGCCTCCCGCTGGTTTTACTACCAGTTCTTGCGAACCTGTCTGAACCGGGGGCAACTCACCACTTATGCCAACCCAATTGTAGATCATGACTCTCCAATGTCAATAACCTTGTATTTCTTAATACAATCCATTCTTTCATCCATGATAACGTTGCTGCCTGGTAATATAATTCCCAGTTTGGTAGTCCAAACTCTCTTCTAAATTTTTGTTAAGGAATTCGCAGAGTAACCCTTGAGTAGCAAGGGTGTGGACATGAAAGCGATTAAGAGTAGTTACGAATAAACACAGCCAACACACAGATACACTGAGTTGTGTTTACTTTCAGGAAATAGTAAGGCATAGTCCAATAAACAGTCCAGGTCATACACATATAAAGCAGGAGATAGCAAAACGACAGTCCAGGGATAATCCAATAACAAAGTCTTCTTACCAGTCGTCGTAGTCATTCACAATAAACAGTTCTTCTGGATTTGCAAACAGTAGCATACAGAGATATCAGAGTGCACAAACAGCAAAGAGAAACAAACCATGTTTCTAGCTCCCTCTTAAGGATATTGGCTACAGAGCTAACCAATCAGGACACAGTATGATGCAATACAGCAGTCTTAAAGCTGTATTGAGGGTTTATATACTGCCAACCCAACAAGTTAGGTAATAATCATTTCCTAACAGTCTTGACTGCGTGATCATGGGGATGCTGCAAAGGTCATAACTCCGAAAAACAGCCGTAAGTCACATTTTTCAGTGCCGTTGTAACTTTGAATGGTCACTAAACGAACTGTTGTAAGTCCAGGACTACCTTCAACTTCAAACGGTCACTAAACAAATGGTTGTAAGCCGAGAACTACCTGTATTCCATTTCTTTCTACATCAACGATACAAGGGCATAAGAGCACCAGCGTGCCTACCGTCCCTGTCCTAATGTTCCCTTTAATTGTATTCATTTTATGTATTCAATTCATGCTTATACTTATATATATTATCTAATACGTACTCGACAAATAAATAAATAAATATAATAAAATAAATAAAAGGGCTTGACATGGGCCTACAACGCCCTGCTAGTTCTTCCCTTGGAAAATAGCAATAGCAATAGATTTATATACTGCCTCATAGAGCTTTGTAGACCTCTCTAAGCAGTTTACAGAGTCAGCCTCTTGCCCCCAACAATCTGGGTCCTCATTTTACCCACCTCGGAAAGATGGAAGGCTGAGTCAACCTCAGGATCAAACCCTCCCTCCCTCCCTCCCTCCCTCCCTCCCTTCCTTCCTTCCTTCCTTCCTTCCTTCCTTCCTTCCCCTTCCTTCCTTCCTTCCCTCCCTCTCAATAGTACTCAGACTTATATACCACTTCACAGTGTTTTTACAGCCCTCTCTAAGCAGTTTACAGAGTCAGCATTTTGCCCAACAATCTGGGTCCTCATTTTACTGACCTCGGAAGGACGGAAGGCTGAATCTGGCCTAACCTTTCCCATTCTTTTTTAATGTAAATTTTAATGTAAATTTTAATTTGCTCTTAACCTGGGTTTTAAATTTGTCTTGGGCTAAATTGATTTAATTCGATTTTACTTTTGTTCTTAATTTTTGTATTTTACGTGTTTTATTCTGTGCCTGTTCACCGCCCTGAGTCCTTCGGGAGTAGGGCGGTATACAAATTAAATAAAATGAAAAATGAAAAAATGAATCAACCATGAGCCGGTCAGAATTAAAGATTTCCTTCCTTCCTTCCTTCCTTCCTTCCTTCCTTCCTTCCTTCCTTCCTTCCTTCCTTCCTTCCTTCCTTCCTTCCTTCCTCCCTCCTTCTCAATAGCACTCAGATTTAATACCACTTCACAGTGCTTTCCATCCCTCTTCCCTCCCTCCTTCCTTCCTTCCTTCCCTCCCTCCCTTCCTCCCTTCCTTCTTCTCAATAGCACTCAGACTTATATACCACTTCACAGTGCTTTCCAGCCCTCTCTAAGCAGTTTACAGAGTCAGCCTATTGCAGTGATGGTGAACCTTTTAAACACCGAGTGCCCGAACTGCGCCCATGCGCATGCCCAAACTGAAAGGTCCTCATTTAACCAACCTCTGAAGGATGGAAGGCTGAGTCAACCTTGAGCAGGTGAAGATCGAACTGCTGGCAGTGAGCAGTTAGCCTGCCATACTGCCTTCTAACCACGGCTGACGATCCGCTTTCTCATGTTGAAATTACAACGTACGCTGTCGCTATAATGGTCTCCTGTTCCTGTTGTTGGTTTTTTCCCCTCCCAGAGTCAACGATTGCATTTTGCGGGTGAATGAGTTCGACGTTTCCGAAGTTTCCCATAGCAAAGCTGTTGAGGCGCTGAAGGAAGCCGGCTCTATCGTACGACTCTATGTCCGTCGGAGGAGACCTATTCTGGAGACTGTGGTGGAAATTAAACTCTTCAAAGGACCCAAAGGTAATTAATGGACAATGAGGCAAACACAGCGCAGGGCGTCTTCAACTTATGACCACCATTGGGTCATACCAGTGGTGGGATTTAAATAATTTAACAACCGGTTCCCTGCCCTAATGACCAGCGGGGTAGGCATGGCTCGTTGGTCATGTGACCGTGTGGGCGTGGCCAAACTCAACATCACTCACTTCGATGGGCACTTCGTCTTAGCTGTTACAATGTAATAAGGGTTAACCAGAGAGGCAGTTTCTATAAGCAGGGCAATAAAGATTAGGCTAGAAACAACACCAGAATGTTTCCTTCCTTACAGGATTAGCCTTGTAAAGTGGAAAAAAACAAAGTAAGATTTCTTCCAACAACTGGTTCTCCGAACTGTTTAGAAAGCTAACAACTGGTTCTCCCGAATGGGTGCGAACTGGCTGAATCCCATCACTGGGTCATACGTATGACCCAGTGGTGGTATTCAGCCGGTTCTATCCGGTTTGCGGATAGGCTCTGCGCATGCACAGAGGTAGCACGCACTCACATTTGTGAACCAGTAGCGAAGGTAAGTGAATATCTCCCCTGGTATTACCACCACTTCCATAGGCAAGTGAGGCATTTGTTAGGTGAATTGCGCCTAATCTTACAGCCTTTTTTTGCCGTGATTCACGCCCGATTTTACAACCTTCTTCGCCATGGTTGTTAAGTGAATCGTGTGGTTGTTAAGCAAATCCCGCCTCTCCCATTGACTGTACTTGTCGAAAGCCAACTGGGAAAATTGCAAAGGAAGATCACGTGAAGTGTTAATACCACTTCGGAGGACTATGTTGTACATGCTTCTTGCAGATAGTCGAGTACTTCACTTTGGCAAGATAGTGTTACAAGGGTTATGTCTGCAGTCTTGGCAGGATTAGTTTGAGATGTATTCCTTGACTCTCGAGGAGCTGCCTTCAGCTGCGTCTGTGAGGTATTTCCAGTTCCTGTCATATGTAGATACAGTATATACCTGCAATGATGGCTTGTTAAGCTGCTTTTATTGATGATTAAACCTACTTGAAATAGATACTGTCTATAGGGGTGGATCCAGTGGTGAAATCCAATTTTTTTTACTACTGGTTCTGTGGGTGTGGCTTGGTGGTCATGGTGTGGCTTGGTGGGCATGGCAGGGGAAGGATACTGCAAAATCTCCATTCCCACTCCACTTCAGGAGAAGGATACTTCAAAATCCCCATTCCCTTCCCCACTCCAGTAGAAGGATACGGCAAAATCCCCATTCCCACCCCACTCCTGGGGGAAGGATATTGCAAAATCCCCATTCCACCTTACTCCTGGGGGAAAGATATTGCAAAAATCTCCATTCCCACCGCACTCTGGGACCAACCAGAGGTGGTATTTGCCAGTTTTCCGAACTGCTCAAAATTTCCGCTACCGGTTCTCCAGAACCTGCTGGATTTCACCCCTGGGTGGATCTATAAAGAACTCGGCTTCGAAGAATCACCGAGTGTCTTTCTTGGATTTGGGAGCCTGGCGTTGCCTGAGATGCCGCTTTTGAGCTTAACCTTAGTTCATTTTCAATAAAGTGTACTCTCAATAAAGTTTATTCTCCTTTTTCATTTCCCTTTAGGTCTGGGGTTCAGCATTGCCGGAGGCGTAGGGAACCAGCACATCCCTGGCGACAACAGCATCTATGTCACAAAAATTATTGATGGTGGTGCAGCCCAAAAGGACGGACGGTTGCAAGTCGGAGACAGGCTTCTTATGGTGAGAATTGGCACTGATTTTTTTTTGTCGACAGTGCGATGAAATGTAACACATAACGCATACAGGTTCTTACCAGATTACCACGCATCTTTTTGTACCTCCTCATTTCCCATTAGGAACTACCGGTAGTACAGAACAGAACAGAATAACAAAATGGTTGGAAGGGACCTTGGAGGTCTTCTAGTCCAACCCCCTGCGCAGGCAGGAAACCCTATACCATTTCAGACAAAGGGTTGTCCAATCTCTTCCTAAAAACATCCAATGTTGGAGCATTCACAACTTCTGGTGGCAAGTCGTTCCACTGATTAATTGTTCTCACTGTCAGGAAATTCCTCCTTAGTTCCAGGTTGCTTCTCTCCTTGATTAGTTTCCACCCATTGCTTCTTGTCCTGCCCTCAGGTGCTTTGGAGAAGAGCTTGACTCCCTCTTCTTTGTGGCAGCCCCTGAGATATTGGAAGACTGCTATCATGTCTCCCCTACTCCTTCTTTTCATTAAACTTAGACATACCCCGTTCCTGCAACCGTTCTTCATATGTTTCAGCCTCCAGTCCCCTAATCATCTTTGTGGCTCTTCTCTGCACTCTTTCTAGAGTTTCAATATCTTTTTTTACATTGTGGAGACCAAAACTGGATGCAATGTTCCAAGTGTGGCCTTACCAAGGCATTAGACTAGATCTAATTGAACTTTTCATTAGCAATAGCAATAGCATTTAGGCTTATATACCAGCCCATAGTGCTTTACAGCAGGGGCCATCAACCTTTCGGACCACTAAATTCATAATTTTAAATCCCATGGACTACTAATATGATCTGCCTAATGACCGGCTGGGCAGGCATGGCTAGGTGGTCATGTGACTGGGTGGGTGTGGCCAAGTCGATGTCACTCACATTGAGGGGCACCTCGCCAACCTCTGCTCACCCCTCCCCTCCCACCCACTCATTGTCTCCCCGCCCGGGCTCCTTAGAGACCCAACAGGAAGCAATTGTTGGAGCTAAGCAGCCACCAGGAGAAAGAGTTGGCAAAACAACTCAGTTCAAATTGGATCTGACCGAGAAGGAGGCTCAGCAGAAGCATCTCACTGAGGACTAGGAGCATAGGCTTTCCAAGCAGAGGGAAGACCTGTGAGAATGCAAGGCCAGCTACCGGCGCTTGGAGGCTCAGCGGGCTGAGAAGGTCAGCCAGTTCCATCCATGAGGCAGTCCCACTGGAACAAGGCCCTCTGGCTCTTGGCCACCAGCGGCACTTCCCTCCAGCCTTTGCCCAGAGCCCCGCACCAGGAGGCTAAAGTAGACCCCCAAGTCTCCCTGCCCTCTGACCCACACAAAAAGACCCCGAAGGGGGGGAGTCTCTGCAGCAACACAAACGTTCATTGCACGTATCTGTCCCAGGGGCCGTAGTTTGAAGACCCCTGATTTAGTGCAATATAAAAAATGCAAATATTTTTTTCTGTGGACCACCAAAATTTTCTCACAGACCACCAGTGGTCCACGGACTACCAGTTGGTGACTACTGCTTTACAGCATTTTCTGGGAAGCCTACAATGCAGAAGCATTCTTATTTGCCTATTATCCTCAACAATCTGGGTCCTCATTTTATTTTATTTATTTATTTATTTTATTTTTATTTTATTTTTGAATTTGTATACCGCCCTTCTCCCTGAGGACTCAGGGCGGTGAACAGCCAAATAAAAACATCAAATACAAATATTAAAACACATTTAAAAATATATATATAGATTTGGCCCCATTAATTAAAACGATAAACAAAACAAAACAATTAAAAAACCCTTAAAAAGAAATTAAGCCAGCCCGGCTTGTTGAAAAAAGAAAGTTTTAAGGACACGGCGGAAGGCACTGAGGTCATGGATTCTCCTTATCTCTGGGGGCAGCTGATTCCAGAGGATAGGTGCCCCCACAGAGAAGGCCCTCCCCCTGGGGGTCACCAGCCTGCATTGTTTGGCTGATGGCACCCCGAGGAGGCCCTCTCTGTGGGAGCGCACGGGTCGGTGGGAGGTCGTCGGTGGCAGTAGGCGGTCTCGAAGATAGCTAGGCCCTATGCCATGGATCGGCAGATAACCGCCCAGCCGCCTTGTTTAGGGTGACCCGCTCCCTCCTACATCAGGGAGCACGGGAGGACCCCTTGCAAGGGCAGGCTGAGGATTTTGCACAGTATCTGCACGATAAAATCGCTCAGATTCGGGAAGGCTTGGACTCTGACTGGGTAGATCCCGGCGGGGTGACTGAGGCTGGTCTTGAGAATGTTACCTGGGATGAGTTCGACCCTGTGACTCCTGAGGACGTGGACAGGATCCTGGGGAGATTAAACGCAACCACATGTTTATTGGACCCGTGCCCCTCCTGGCTGGTACTGGCCACCCGGGAGGTAACACGAGGCTGGCTCCAGAGGATCATAAATGCTTCTCTGAGAGAGGGTTTCTTGCCTCCCGCCTTGAAAGAGGCGGTGGTGAGGCCCCTCCTCAAGAAGCCTTCTCTGGACCCGGCCGTTTTGGCAAACTATTGTCCGGTCTCCAACCTTCGCTTTGTTGCGAAGGTTGTGGAGAGTGTGGTTGCGCAACAGCTCCCACAGTTCCTGGATGAAACCGTCTATCTAGATCCGTGCCAGTCCGGCTTCAGGCCTGGGTACAGCACGGAGACGGCATTGGTCGCATTGGTGGATGATCTCTGGAGGGCTCGGGACAGGGGTTGTTCCTCTGTTCTGGTCCTGTTAGACCTCTCAGCGGCTTTTGATACCATCGACCATGGTATCATGCTGCGCCGGCTGGAGGGACTGGGGGTGGGAGGCACCGTGTTGCGGTGGTTCTCCTCCTATCTCTCTGACCGGTCGCAGTCTGTGTTGGCAGGGGGGCAGAGGTCGACCTCGAGGCGCCTTGCTTGCGGGGTGCTGCAAGGGTCGGTCCTCTCGCCGCTCCTGTTCAACATTTATGTGAAGCCGCTGGGTGAGATCATCTGTGGTTTTGGGGTGCGATGCCATCTGTACGCTGATGATACTCAGCTGTACATTTCCACCCCAGACCACCCCAATGATGCCCTCGAAGTGATGTCCCAGTGTCTGGAGGCCGTGCGGGTCTGGATGGGGAGGAACAGGCTTCGGCTCAACCCTTCCAAGACCGAGTGGCTGTGGATGCCGGCGTCCCGGTATAGCCAGCTGGTGCCATCGCTGGCTATTGGGGGCGAGTCACTGACCCCCACAGAGGGGGCTCGCAACTTGGGCGTCCTCCTGGACACACGGCTGTCTTTAGAAGAGCATATGACGGCCGTGGCCAGGGGGGCTTTTTATCAGGTTCGCCTGATACGCCAGTTGCGCCCCTTTCTGGATCGGGACTCCTTGTGCACAGTCACTCATGCCTTGGTTACGTCACGCCTGGACTACTGTAATGCTCTCTACATGGGGCTCCCCCTGAGGAGCACCCGGAGGCTCCAGCTGGTGCAGAATGCGGCCGCGCGGGTGATTATGGGAGCGACGTGGCGCTCCCACGTAACACCTCTCCTGCGCGAGCTGCATTGGCTCCCGGTGGTCTTCCGGGTGCGCTTTAAGGTGTTGGTTCTCATCTTTAAAGCGCTCCATGGCTTAGGGCCAGGGTATTTGCGAGACCGCCTGCTGCTACTGATAACCTCCCACCGGCCAATACGCTCTCACAGAGAGGGCCTCCTCGGGGTGCCGTCGGTCAGGCAATGTCGGCTGGCGGCCCCCAGGGGGCGAGCCTTCTCTGTGGGGGCACCCGCCCTGTGGAATGAGCTGCCTCCTGGAATACGATTGATCCCGGACCTCTGGACCTTCCGTAAAGCCCTGAAGACGTTTTTATTTCATCAAGCCGGCCTAGCCTAAATGGTTTTTAATTGGGATTTTAAATTTTATGGATTTGGGGTTTTAAATTTGGGTAGCCAATGATTTAATTCTTTTAATTATCTTAACTTTTGCATTTGTATGTTTTTTAATTTTGGCTGTTCACCGCCCTGAGTCCCTTCTGGGAGAAGGGCGGTATACAAATTAAATTAATAAATAAAATAAAATAAATAAATGGAGCGCTTTAAAGGTGATAACCAACACCTTGAAGCGCACCCGGAAGACCACCGGGAGCCAGTGCAGTTCACGCAGGAGCGGTGTTACATGGGAGCCATTTTACCGACCTCAGAAGGGGAGCGGTGTTACATGGGAGCCATTTTACCGACCTCAGAAGGGTGAAAGGCTGAGTCAACCTCAAGCCCCGTCAGGATCAAACTCCAGGCTGTGGGCAGAGTTTGCCTGCAATACTGCACTTTAACCACTGCACCACCATTATTTTCTTCTAAGAATTTATTTTGGTTTGGTTTGTTGTTTTTTTTACTTCCCGGTCCAGCATTACATGGATTTTACGATAGTTCCCTTATCCATTTACTAAATAGATCCAGTCCTATGTAGCTTCTCCAGTCTGAAACTCATAACCCTAAACATCAGAGGTGGGTTTCATATAATTTTACCACCGGTTTGCCACTCACCGAAAATGTGAGCACTCGCCGTCAGTGCATGCACGCGATTTGCACACATATGCGTGGCTTAGAAAACGTGGCTCAATTGGACACCATAGCACCGGGGCGGGCTGGGACCATACCGCAGGTTGCCACTACCGGTTTCCCCGAACCGGCTGAATACCACCTCTGCTAAGCACCCATCTGGAAGGCTGCATTTGAATGATAAAACACCTTATTTGTCACACAGAATTGGCCTAATTTACTGTGTTCCTTGAGTCAAGAGTTCTCTTCTTTTGATTAGCATGTGAACAAATGATGGCTCGGTTTCCACATCGGACCTGCTGAGTGCACCTTTTTCTCTCGGCTTTCGTTTAGGTAAACAATTACAGTTTAGAAGAAGTAACACACGAAGAAGCAGTAGCAATATTGAAGAATACATCGGATGTAGTCTATTTAAAAGTGGGGAAGCCAACCACCATCTATATGACCGACCCTTATGGCCCTCCAGATATTACTCATCGTAAGTTATGATATACATGTTTTTTTTTTCACGGATGTTGTTGTCAAATTCTAAGCTTTTAAGTGACCTGTTAAGGAACAAGTACCAAACAGAGCAGTGGTGAAATGTAAAATTTGTTACTACCGGTTCTGTGGCTCCCCCGGCTTGGTGGTGGGGCGAGTAATTTGACTGGGTGGGCCTAGCCAACTTTTTTTTTTTACTTTTAAAATCATTTTTTCTACAACCTCTTCAGCCAAAGAGGTTGTAGAAAAAATGCTTTTAAAAGCCTCTGACGATCCCAGCTGAGTTGCCTGATCGTCAGAGGCTTTTTTTTTCTTTTAAAAACATTTTTTCTACAACCTCTTCAACTGAAGAGGTTGTAAAAAAAAATGCTTTTAAAAGCCTCTGATGACGCTCACACAAATGGAGGGCACATGCTTGCCCGCTGTTCGCACAAGTGGAAATGCACAAATGCACGTTCACCCACCACTTCCATGGCCCAGTTCCAAAGGGTTCAAGGTCCAGTAATAGGGCCACAGCCAAGGGTTGGGGACCCCCGATTTAAGCCTTGATGCTTTAAACCTCCTAAAATCCTTTCCATGTATAAGGTAAAGGTAAAGGTTCCCCTGGCACATATGTGCTAGTTGTTCCCAACTCTAGGGGCTGGTGCTCATGTCTGTTTCAAAGCTGAAGAGCCAGCGCTGTCCGAAGATGTCTCCGTGGTCATGTGGCCGGCATGACTCAACGCCAAAGGCGCACGGAACGCTGTTACCTTCCCACCAAAGGTGGTCCCTGTTTTTCTACTTGCATTTTTTACGTGCTTTCGAACCGCTAGGTTGGCAGAAGCTGGGACAAGTAACGGGAGCTCACCCCGTTACGCGGCACTCAGGATTCGAACCGCTGAGCTGCCGACCTTTTCGATCGACAAGCTCAGCGACTTAGCCGCTGAGCCACCGCATCCCTTTCCATGTATGCCTGTTTGCAAAACAAGACGAGGGGCATGCCTTGAATCTTCTGTACTATCTCAGACAGTTCAGCATGAATTGAACTGGTGATTGAATGGTAATTGTCTGTCTTCTTTAACCCGTAGCTTATTCCCCGCCGATGGAAAACCACATCCTGTCTTCAGGCAACAACGGCACTTTAGAATACAAGACCTCGTTGGCCCCCATCTCGCCTGGAAGATACTCGCCTCTCCCAAAGCACATGCTAGTGGAAGATGACTACCCCAGGTTAGATATTCATCTTTACTGAGTGCCTTTGATTGATATGCTGGCTTCCAGGAAACATGGTTTGTTTGATGCTGGGATTAGGGCCTCGACAGGGTATAAAACAGTGATGGCGAATCTCTTTTTCCTTGGGTGCTCAAAAGAGCGCGTGTGCGTGCCGACACCCATAATGCAATGCCCACCGCAGGCTCCGCCCCAGCGCATAGGCGCTCCCTCTGTGCATGCGTGCATGACCCCCATTTTGGTGCTAGCAGGACATCCTGAAGCCTCCTGGGACCAAAAATGGGGTGGGTGAGAGTGTGGCATCCACCACCCCACCCCACGCAGGCGTGCGTGCGTGCCATAAGTTCGCCATCATGGGTATAAGCCTTTGACTAATCACATTATACAAGAGAGGGACAGTGATCATTAGGGGTGGGCTTCAAAAATTTTAGCAAGGGGTTCTCTGCCCGGTTGCTGGTTGGGTGTGGCCATGGTGGGCATGGCCTAGTCGCCTCCTGCACCACGGCTTTTGTCGAGCCTCCGGGAGGGCGAAAATGGCCTCCCCAGGCTCCGGAGGCCCTCTGGAGGCCGGAAACAGGCCTTCCCGAACTTCCGGTAGGACCATTTTTCACCCTTCCCGAGCCTCCTCACGCACTTACCTGCATCCAAAACGGGCCACGTGGGGACTCCTGGGAGGGGCAGGGTGGGATGGGCAGGGCCAGCTAGGAGTGGGATTTGGGGGTTCTCCGAACTGCACAGAATCTTAGCTAGAGTTTCTCCCAAACTCCTGCGAACCCCCAGCAGTCCACCATCTGGCTGTCCCTTAAGATAATAAGGAGGTGCACTCTTTAAATTTTAAAAGAGGAAATTCCCGTCTCAGTAATTTAACGTTTAGAAACAAGAGCCAAGCTAGAATCGGAGAAGGATAATTTAACATTTGGAGCGACTAACCAGAACGAATTTCCTTTGTGCCACTATTTCTCTTTATAGTAATTTTTTTTTATTTATTTTTTTATTTTGGCCTCATCCTTTCCAAAAAGATCAGGTTTTCGCTCTGTTTCGTTTCTTTCTTTCTGTCTGTCTGAGGAACATCATGTTGGGTCCCAAATTTGCTGTTTGTCTGTCCACCACATTCTGCCTTATCTTGTAATTGTGTGAGATTTGAGTTGTCCCTTGTTGCCTTTAACTTAGCGGTAGATCATTTGAATTTTTGTCTGTCTTGGCCATATGGTTTTCCCCTCAGTTTTAAATTCCACCCCACAAAGCTAAAGTTTGTAGTTCTCACAGCCTCCTTGGTCTTCGTACGTGAATGCGATGCGCAAAGAAGAGTATTTCCTTGGAAAAGGAATTCCCTTTCATTTGCTTCTGAAGTCCCAGGAGGGAAAAAAAAAACCACATTTCCCTATTTAGAAAATTCAGAAAAGGTCTGGGAATATTACGTGATGCTTTCCCAGAGGCTGTCAGGCCTCACCAGAAATGTTAAAACCAAAATAGAATTACAGACAGAAACCTTGATGGTTTGGATTAAATAGACAGGGAGACCCAGGTTTGGCCTGAATGGACCTAGAAACCTTGATTGTTTGAAATTCTAGTTCAGGTAGTCCTCAATTTACGACCATTCGTTTAGAGACCGTTCAGAACTACCAATGGCACTGAAAAAAGTGACTTGCGACCGATACTCGGACTTACAACCATCATAGCATCCTCACGCTCCTCACAACGTTAGCAACTTTAGTCTGGATTTCAACTCCCAGAATTCCAAAACCAGTCATGAATGGTTGAGACTGGGGAATTCTGGCATAGAAGGCTGGGGAATTCTGAGAGTTGAAGTCCAGTCATTTTTTAAAGTTGCTAAAGTTCACTGCTCTAGAAGTTATATAAAAGGGTAGGCCTTGGGATCTGAATCATCTCACCATATTATAGTTCTCAAGAACATATATACATATGTGACTCCATAACTGATGGAAGGTCAGTGCAAATATTGCAAGATGGAATTAGAGAAATGTCATATTTACGGGTTCCTTGGTACTCTCTCTGAGCTCGTTTGCTCTCTTGCAGACATTTCATTGCTTGAATAGGTAACTTCATCAGACCTACCATGTTTCCCCAAAAATAAGACCAGGCGTTATATTAATTTTTGCTCCAAAAGATGCATTAGGGCTTATTTTCTGGTTAGGTCTTATTTTGGGGGAAATACGGTACTAAATGCACCCATCTGGCCAGTGGTGAGATTCAAGTAATTTAACAACCGATTCTCTGCCCTAATGATTTCTTCCAACAACCAGTTTGCCAAACTACTCAGAAAGTTAACAACCGATTCTTCCAAAGTGGTGCGAACTGGCTGAATCCCACCACTACATCTGGCAGACAATCTTAACGCTGACATTAGGGCTTATTTTGGGGGTAGGGCTTATATTACGAGCATCCTGAAAAATCATGCTAGGACTTATTTTCTGGTTGGGTCTTATTTTCGGGGAAACAGGGTAGAAGGGAATGGGGTTAACCCTGATGATATTACCTAGTTGGGTAATGAAATGTCTGCAAGAAAACAGCCAAACTTAGAGACCACAAAGCTCCCCACCATTCAACCCTGAGCTATAAATATTCTCTTCTGTTGGGTGTCATTGTTATCCCAAAAATGCTTTTATTTCTTGCAAAAAAATCTCTCTTGATGTGAACCATCCTAGAATAGGTATCCCATTTAATCCGTGTCCATTCACCTGTTAAAGGCAAAGAAGCTCATTGTACGAGGTGGACGGGAGAAAAATCAGTGCCAAATGTCACTGACCCGTATCTGCTTTCCTAGAAGGGCATCAGATGCTTGTCTGTTTTGGAGAGCACCCTGGGCTTCAAACTCTCCGCTAATCACGAGCCTTTAATGAGTTGGCCTCTTCTGGTTTAGCAGATGTTTGCAAACAAATGTTTCATGTTCAGGCTGAGGCCAGATAGCTGGAAGCAAACACAGATCACCTGGGAACCTGGATTATCATTTTCTGTGCAACCGAAAGAGCGATCAGAGGAAGTGACAGATGGGGGGGGGGTTATTCCTGCATTGCTTGCTAAAAAGAGAAATGTGCTTTTTTCTCTCCCCCCACCCGCCTCGAAATGGGTCAGGGGTGCCTCGAGGACATGCCGAAAAAGAACAATGAGGAAGAAAATTTTTTAAGTCTCCTGCTATTTCTTCCTTGAGAGTTATATACACTGCAGCCATTTTGTCAGAGAAGCATCATGACTGGCTGTATTATTAAACAATTCCCTGAAGTCAGTGGTGGGATTCAGCCAGTTCGGCCCGGTTCGGGCGAACTAGTACTTAAATTGCTTGCTGGCCTCACCCTGCCCTGCCCAGCCCCTTCCAGGAGTCCCCATGCACCCCATTTTGGCTCCCAGATAAGTGCAGGGAGGCCTCCTAGATTCAAAATGGGGCACAAGGGATGCAGCCCCCCCATGGCCCATTTTTGCTCCCAGGAGGTTTCAGGGAGGCCGCCTAGGTGCAAAATGTGGTGTGAGGGGCCGGCTCCCCTGCGGCCCATTTTTACTCCCAGGAGGCTGCAGGGAAGTCTACTAGGCCCAAAACGGGGTGTGGGGGCTACAGTGCAATCCCCCCACGACCCATCTGTGCTTGCAGGAGGCTGCAGGGAGGCCTACTAGGCCCAAAACTGGGTGCAGGGAGTGCAGCGCAGCCCCCCCCCTATGGCCCCTTTTCACTCCCAGGAGGCTGCAGGGAGACTTACTAGGCCCAAAATGGGGCACAGAGGGGTGGCGCATCCCCCCTCCATGGCCCGTTTTGCCCCCAGGGGGGTGCAGGAGGCCGAGCACTGCCTGTCACACACCCCGGCCATGCCCACCATGGCCCCCTCCTTCCAGCTGGTCATTAGGGCAGAGAACCGGTTGTTAAATTATTTGAATCCCACCACTGCCTGAAGTGGAAGATGATAGATGGTATTATGTAGGAGACTTTGGAAGAGTTTCTCTCCGTCATTTTCTTCTACTTCAGAGAAGGTGTATCAGTTCCCACCTCACTCTGCCCCAGGTCAGCCTCTTTCCTTCAGAGGAGTACAGGTAGTCCTTGACGTACAACTATTCATTTAGTGACCATTCAAAGTTACAATGGCAATGAAAAAAAGAGACATAAGACCATTTTTCACATCACTGCAGCATCCCCACAATCACATGATTAAAATTCAGACCCTTCGCAAGTGATTCATATTTATGACGGTTGCAGTGTCCCGGGGTCATGTGATGGTCACCTTTTGAGACCTTCTGACAAGCAATGAGGAAGCCCGATTTGTTAACAACTATATTATTAACTGGATTTGTTTAATGACCATGTGACTAACTTAACAACGGCAGTGATTCACTTAGCAGCTGTGGCAAGAAAAGTCATAAAATGGGGCAAAACTCACTTAACTACCGCCTCGGTTAGCAATGGAAAGTTTGGGCTCAGTTGTGGTCGTAAGTCGAGGATTACCTGTACACCTAATCAGGACAACCTCTGTTCGATGGAAATACAAGTAGTCCTTCATTTACAAGCATAACTGGGACTGGAATTTCCATCCTTAAGTGATGCAGTTGTAAAGGCCAACCTCACTGAGGGGCATTGCTTGGCGGTCATAAGTCAAGAAGCTGCATTGCTTTGTGGTCGTAAATCAAGGACTACTTGTACAAATCTTGGTTCAGCCCAACTGGCATTCAGACGACCTTAATTTTCATCTTAGGCCTGGTTCTTCAAAGATGGCAACTCATAAGACTTGTGGACTTCCACTCCCAGAATTCTGGCTGAGGAATTCTGGGAGTGGAAGTCCACAAGTCTTAAAATTGCCAAGTTTGGAGACTTCCGTCTTAGGCAGCACAACGACTCCCATGGATCCTGCAATTTAGAGCAAAAAGGCTAACTATGAATGAAAACAGTTGGCCTTGCTTGGGGACAGTCAGCTGCTTTCAATCACCTTCTTCGTTTCTGAAAATGTCCTGGCCATGAAGTCACTCTATGACCTAGTAGGAAAAAAATGGCCAACATATCC